TTATTTCAGTAGCTCATTTCCAGATCGTATCCAGCAACCCACGGAATCCATTGACCCCAAAACATGTCGGTCAGTGATAGGTACGTAGATTATAAGTAGGTCAAGATTATTGCAATTAAAGCAAATTAAGTGGCATGAAAGAATAACTATTATATATCAAATGGATCGCGCCAAAAAAGTCGAGACAAAGTTCTTAAAAAAAGACATAAACAAATAATCTAGATTTTTACAGCTTCTCTCAAGACCATTCTTGAGAAATGATCGTTGTTAACGGTCTCCATCATTGTAACGATGACTTTCCATGAACTGAAAACCATGCGGAAATCATTCACTGACTCTACTGGCAAGTCATAAGCAAAGAGGTCCCTTAGCACTGTCTTACCTGAGTGATCTACTAGTACCGGATTGGCCCTTAAAGTCCAATGGTGACGGCGGACGACTTCATGCAGATGTCCCTTTCGCGGTTTGCGAAGCTGAGTGGAAGTACCTAGATAGGACGGCCATGATCGATCTAAAATATCCAACAAAACATTTTTGGAGAGAATTCGTGTTGAAGGAAGTCCTTGAGGGAATGCACTCAATCACTCATGCCATCGAAGGGTCTTAGCGGTTCATCCTCAATGGGTCGCGGACCTAATGGAGGAAGAAGAGGATTACGAAATGGAGTTGTGATTTGGTGAGAATACTGTAGTGCCATTATCAAGTTGCTAGTATTAGATTTATTATAAAATAACTGCTACAAAATTCTATATGTTACGCGCGATGGCGCCACTCATCTCTGTCACACAGTAGTGTTGCCGCCTCCTGCCGGTATGTGGGAAAAGATCTATAATGGGGATGAAGAGATACTCGCCGTAAACCGCTGCCGATACACTGCGCTGTTTGAGGTACGTCATTCATATGGCACCGCCTCACGCAGCGAGAAATCGGTCGTATCTGCCGAGCTCGCTCCCGCAAGCTGCTCATTACACCTAAAGAGCGGTACGCGCAGCACCGCAAAATCTTCTGAATCGATATCGTTTAGAACAGAATTATCTAATTGAAGTGTCATGAAATCGCTTGTTTTTGTCGGTTATGGCTCTCTGGTTTTTTCCTCTCCCACCTGTGCGTCATCAATCATAACGCGAAGCACCTGAGGCACAATCTCTCTATTATAATCTCACACCAGTAAATCCCTAAAGTTTCTTTTTTTTATGCGATACAGAATTACCTGGGGATGCAGAACAACCTCATGGAATTGAGGGTGCTGAACGAAACATCGACATCACTCCTGCAATCCTAACCAGGGCTTAGATCCTTGTGCACTCATCTTTATTCACCTCGCGGCAGCATACATTTTCGCGGACCGTGGTGAGTGTCACGCACGATTAGCAAGAACACCATTCCAGGCTACTGAGCGTGGGAGGAGACAACTCCTTACCTAGGAGGATGCAGAAGCTGAAACATTCACATATAATCATCCAAATCACTTCTACCTTTTTGGCTTGGTGAACATTACTTGTCATTCATTTCAGCTCTTCTCCGTCCCGCCCTCTCCCTCTCCCTCCTCAGCACTGTCTCCACAACTTCCGTCTCCGGGTCTTCCATTGCGATTGGACAAGCAAGTCCTTTCGATTGAAACTTTGCTACATTTATAAGCTTGCAGGGAAAGGTGCAGGCTCTTTGACCACTCAGTAACAGATGAAGACGTATGGATACGAATCTGGTCTCAAACCTACTTTCCGAATCTGCTAAACTATTCTCTGAATATAGGTATGAAGCAAAAGAGAACTACGGTAGGCTCCCCTATGACCATTGTGACCGAGGGACCTTTCCTCATTTGACTATTTGTGTGCTTGTGTGGCGGAGCGAGACACGTCCTACGGCTCAAGGTATTTGTTGCAACACTCCATGTCAGGCTCACCCTAATCGTCTGTGGAGGTGCTACAAACAAAAGTATACCGCTTCGCAATACAGGCATATGTTGACTTATTCCATATGGAGTAGACGGTACGTAAAATTTTATAAAGTGATAAAAAGCAGACATGAACACCAAGAGATTTACTCGACATCTATGTAATACATGTCATATTACTTTAGACGTTAGGAGTCGCTGCAAGCCTTGTACGTAATTGCGGAAATTCCTATGCTGCTAGTGTTGTCGCGTTTCTCATTTTCTGAGATTCCTTCCTAAATTCGATTAGAGACACCGACCTCAGCACTGATTTCTTTTTATTTCAGACTAATGAACTGGATGGATCACGTACTTCTGACGATTGCAGCATTCATAGCATTGCGACACCGTTTTTGTTGTCTTCCGTATCGCCATCAGTGATAGCAGTCAGTGGAGAATACGCTGAATCGTATTCTTACTTAATGCGTAGAAATTATACTAATACACAATTTAGACCTTTATTTCTTCCGCCTTAAGACTTCTTTAATTTTCGCGTTTCGTTGTGTTCCCGCAGCGAATAATATTTCGCGATTTGTGTCCAAGTGAAA